AAGCTGAGAACTTTCTACAGCTTCATATTTTCAGTAAGATGTAGGCGTTGGAGCAACCTTTCTCAACCAGGGCAGAGATTGCTAGGGTTTCCTTGAACGGCAAAAAGTAGACATACCTTCCACTGACCAACATTGCAAATGCTCATCTTTCCCCCAACCACTGGTGTAAGGGGGACCTATCCCGCTGAACACCAATGTACCATTGTTGGTGAAACCTTTTTCTATGATTCTTAATTTTGGGGCACTTGTTCACTGCCCACTCCAATGATCCACCACTGATAACGAGTGCAAGGGGAGCATTTATCTGCTGACCACCATTAATGCACCATCAGTTGTAGATATAATCATTTTTAATCAGGGGTTTCCATGAAATCCATAAATTAATTCAATGGTGAGAAAGGCTGCTTCAGAGATATCTGGAAGCATCCAATGATGACCTCCTTTGGAAAATGCTTGACTGGCTGTCTCTGGCTTCAGTACTTCTCAACGACCTGGTAACTAAAGTTACATTAAAGTCAGAATTTCTCATATAAAGTATATTCTTGTCTGGAGTCAGTGACTTACAATATATTAAAGGCATTGGATCTGCATGAGCTACGTCTTTTTTTTACAAGGTGGCATCATTGATAGCATAGCTCTTTAGAAAAGGTTTGGGCTCAATGAACACTAGCTTAAAATAAATCGCTCCTAGCAGCAGATTTTGAGCACTTTTTTCTGCTTCAGGAAGCAAACTGTGTTATCCTATGTGTCCATGAACACTATTTTAGTTTAGAAGCGTTTCTGAAGCTTCAGCTTCCAGGAGCAGAATAAAAAAATATTTTTTCATTTTATCAACACCATACAAAAATGCAAAAATAAGATACACACCTGCACTTGGGTTGAAGAGAATCAGACAATATTTGAAGAGCTGTAGCGGCATCTTTCTCTGCAAAATATCTAAAACAGAATAATACAAAAGCACCAATTTAATCATTATGTTTACCCAGTCCAATAGAGATAATAAAATACAGAACCTTGCTGGTTGTATGTTATTACATTTACATAATTCTGACTTTACATATTAGTTCACTGTCCCTCCAGAATCCCAAGTGACGGTCTGGGCCAGTTTACCGTCACCTGGTGGCCCCTGGCTCCCCTAAAGCCATCATACTGATACTGAACTTAGTGCTTGGCATATCGTAGACCAGAATTCCTGGACTCAAGCAATCCAATAGCCTCAGCCACCCGAGTAGCTGGGATTACAGATGCATGCCACCACGCCTGGCATTTTTTTTTTTTTAGAAAAAATAATTAAAAAAAATTACCAAATGAAAAGAATAAATAAAATAAAAGTATACAACCAAAATAATAATAATAATAAAAAAAATACATCATTTACACTGACATTGTGAAGCCTTCTCTATGTTTAATTGTAGCATTATCAATATAATTACAACACCAGCCATTGTTTACTAGGGCACAGTAGGCATTTTTTGTTATCCAGCAATACCATGAACACTTTTAAACTGAATGCCAGGATGAGCAAATATTATCTAAATAATATTATCTAAACACATTACGTATTCTTACGTGATGCTTGATGTGATTTGTGTATTTCTTCCACATCTGTGTCCAGTGTGAAACTTTGCCTCCATGTAGAACTTCCTGTAATAAAGACCGGTCTCTGCTGCTGTCTCTCCTTGTGCATGGTAACTGGTCTTATATCTGCCCCCTCCTGTAGTTTTCTGCAGACAGCCTGAAGTGGGCGGAGTCTGTTGAGTCCCTCCCACAGCTCTGCTCTCTGCATAGGCTATGTAAAGCACAGTAATGATATTACTGCTACTTCTGGGTTTGCAAAGGCATTTGGTGCACATAATGTGTGTTTATTTTCCTCTGTGGCTACTATGGAAAATTTGTTTGAGCCCAGAGTTCAGCTTTAGCTTACACTATTTATTTATTTATTTACTTCAGGTACTTATATAGCGCTGTCAACTTACGCAGCGCTTTACATATATATTGTACATTCACATCAGTCCCTAACCCTAAAGGGGTGTACAATATAAGGTCCCTAATTTACATTCATGTATACACATACTAGGGCCAATTTAGACAGGATCCAATTAACCTACCAGCATGTCTTTGGAGTGTGAGAGGAAACCGGAGTACCCGGAGGAAACCCACGCAGGCACAGGGAGAACATGCAAACTCCAGGCAGGTGGTGCCGTGGCTGGGATGCGAACCAACGACCCTAGTACTGCCAGGCGGAAGTGCTAACCATTTGGACTCTGTGCTGCCCATAACACTACCAGAACATTGGCATTGTTTCTGACCTGTACGGTAGAGGGAGCTTCACCCCTGTACATGTGGCACACAGCAATTCTTATTTATTCCCAGCAGAACTTCTCTGAAAGTTTTTTCTTTTTGCAAGTCAAACAGAAAACACAATCAACTAATCAAAATATGTTTTTTGGACTTTAGTAGTGAAGGATACACAGTAACCCCAGAACTAAGGCAACCCACACATTCATCTTTTTTTCATTCAGTCAGTAGGTTAAATTAAAAAAAAAAGATCTTTTTCCCCCATTCACACATTTGATATGTATGGGGGAATCACTCCCAGTGTGCTATTGTGTTCTGACAGCAAGGGAGCTTTTCCCACTGTCAAAACACACTGATCAGTGATGCTGACTATAGCCAGCGGCACTGATTCTTTGGGAAAAACCTGGCAGGCTGGTTGTATACAAGTTGATCAGTAGATTGAATTCTGTACAACCAGGGTGACCATACATGGATTTATATTCGATCGGTCCCTGCTGAACCAACCAAATTGTGATCCATGTATGGCCAGCTTAAGGCTTTGTTTTATGGACGGCTTAGGGCCTTGTAGAAGAACATCCAGTACAGTGTATTGTATGGGCATTATGGGCTGTGTTGTATGTTGTATGGGCAATATGCTGTCCTACACTGCTTTAGTGTACAGGTATTGCATTGCCCTGTATATGATGTGTGAATGTAGCTATTTAATCCAGTACACACGTTAAGACCTAACAAGCTATGGGAGCTTGATGGGCCAGAAATATTTGCCCACATCCATACACTGCAACAGCGAAAACAAAGTAGGAGATGCCCAGAATGGGTTCTCCCTTCTTGTCAGAAATGTCCTTTGTGGTCTCGGGCAGCAGGGTGAGCAGTGTTATAGTTACATAGTTAGTCTGGCTAAAAAAAGACTCAAGTCCATCTAATTCAACCAAAGCACTGCCTGTAATGACCACACTGTTGTTTTTTTATCTATTTGCTGCCCAGAGAATCACATGTTTAGAGTTCATTCATATGGGCATACTGATTGGTACAGAGAGCCTTATTTACTTCTCTGAGATACATGAGTGGTGCGCGCAGCCAGCCTATTGAAATAAATGACAGGCTGATATGTGCAAGGTTCTTCCCGTACATCCCTGAGTATACATCTGTGAGTGACCAATGTGGGGGTTAATCACTAAACCAGAAAGTGCATTATCTGGTGCAGCTCTGCATAGAAACCAATCAGCTTCCAGGTTTTATTGCCAAAGCTTAATTGAACCAGCTGAAGTTAGAAGCTGATTGGCTACCATGGACAGCTGCACCAGAGTGAGTGCACCAGTTTTAGTACATCTACCTATTCAGAGCTGTGCATCAGACATACAAATGTGCACTCAGGGATGTGCATAAAGCACTGATATTACCAATAATACTATGTACAGCACACAGCCCTGTTCACAGTTTATGTTTAATTTTGTAGGTGCCACTCATGCAGGAGCTAACTGCAAACACTGAGAACATCACATAGAGTAATGGAAAGCTCAGAATGAAAGAAAACAAGCAATAAATTATCAAGGCTCAATATAATGAGTATTTAGGTTAACCAAGTAAGCATGCTGCAGAGTGTGGACAACATTGGGTATAAGAAAGAAAGAAAAGGATGAAACGTCAGGGGGAGAGGGAAACTGTAGGGGGATGTCAGGGGTGAGAGGGGAGCAAGGGAAGGGGAGAAAACAGGACATCCTCCGAGGCACCAGGATATTGGACAAAAAAAACAACATTTATAGGTAACTGAGGCTGGATGGGTTCATAGAGGCATGCACATAACAGAGCCAGGATTCCAAGACTTTGAGTAATTTTGGTTGTGAGCCAGTGAGGACACCATAAAGCTTCTGTAGGTGTCTGTAACATGGAACATGATTTGGCATTGCTGGAAGATTGGTCAAAGCAGTGGAAACTTCAGTTCAATGTTAATAAAAATTTAAAATAATGCACCTAGGTAAAAAGAATCCCTTGAGAGAGTACAACATTGGGGGTAAAGTGTTGGCCAGCACTACAGAGGAAAAGGATTTGGGGGTACTTGTTTTAGATGATTTCAAACTGAGCAAACAGTGTGACCAGGCAGTGAGAAAAGCAAACAGAATTCTAGCATGCATCACTAGAGGGATCATCAGTAGGAGGAAGGAGGTCCTGATTCCTCTATATACAGCGGGTAAAATAAGTACTCAACATGTCATAATTTTTCTCAGTAAAAATACACTACATTGCCAAAAGTATTGGGACGTCTGCTTTTGCACTCACATGAACTTTAATGGCATCCCAGTTGTAGTCCATAGGGTTCAATATTGAGTTGGCCCACCCTTCTTCCAGAAGCGCATTTGTGAGGTCAGGCACTAATGTCGGATGAGATGGCCTGGCTTGCAGTCTCCGCTCTTATTCATTCCAAAGGTGTTTATCAGGTTGAGGTCAGGACTCTGTACAGGCCAGTCAAGTTCATCCACCCCAAACTCGCTCATCCATGTCTTTATGGACCTTGCTTTGTGCACTGGAGCGCAATCATGTTGGAACAGGAAGGGGCCATCCCCAAACTGTCCCCACAAAGTTGGAAGCATGAAATTGTCCAAAATGTATTTGTATGCTGACGCCTTGATAGTGCCCTTCACTGGAACTAAGGGGCTAATCCCAACTGCTGAAAATCAACCCCACACCATAATCCCCCCTCCACCAAACTTTACACTTGGCACAATGCAGTCAGGTAAATACCGTTCTCCTGACAACTTTCAAACCCAGACACATCCATCAGATTGCCAGACAGAGAAGCGTGAATCGTCACTCCAGAGAACACTTGTCCACTGCTCTACAGCGGCTTTACACCACTGCATCCGACGCTTTGCATTGCACTTGGTGATGTAAGGCTTGGATGCAGCTGCTAGGCCATGGAAACCCATTCCATGAAGCTCTCTACACAATGTTGTTGTGCTAATCTGAAGGCCACATGAAGTTTGGAAGTCTTTAGCTATTGACTCTGCAAACAGTTGGCGACTTCTGCGCACTGTGAACTTCAGCATGCGCTGATGCAACTCTATCATTTTACGTGGCCTACCACTTCGTGACTGAGTTGCTGTTGTTCCCAGTTGCTTCCACTTTGTTAGAATACCACTAACAGTTGACCGTGGAATATTTAGTAGCAAGGAAATTTCACGGATGGACTTGCACAGGTGGCAACCTATCACGGTACCACGATTGAATTCACTGAGCTCCTGAGAGCGACTCATTCATTTTTCACAAATGTTTGTAGAATCAGTCTACATGCCTAGGTGCTTGATTTTATACATCTATGGCCATGGAGGTAATAGGAACACCTGAATCCAATTATTTGAAAGGGTGTCCCAATACTTTTGACAATATAGTGTATTTTTAACCACTTCCATACCGGGCACTTTTACCCCATTCCCTCCCAGGTCATTTTTCAGGTTTCAGCGCTCTCACACTTTGAATGACAATTGCGCGGTCATACAACATTGTACCCAAACTAAAATTTTATCATTTACTTCACACAACTAGTTTTCTTTTGGTGGTATTTATTCACCACTGGGGTTTTTATTTTTTGCTAAATTAACAAAAAAAGACCAAAAATTTTGAAAAAAAAACACATTTTTCTTTGTTTCTGTTATAAAGGTTTACAAATAAATAATTGTTCTTCATAAATTTAGGCTGAGATGTATTCTGCTACATGTCTTTGGTGAAAATAACCCAAATTAGGATGTATTTTTTAGTTTGTAGGAAAGTTATAGAGTTCACAAACTATGGTATAGATCTGAAAATTGATCAGTCCTGAAGTACTGACAGCCAATCTAATTTCTTGAGGTCCAAGAATGTCAGAACAGTACAGATATCCCCCAAATGACCCCTTTTTGCAAAGTAGACAGTCCGACGTACTTCATAAGAGGAATGGCGAGTTTTTTGAAGTTGTATTTTTTTGTCATAATTTTTCGGAAAATGAAAAAAGTAAAAAAAATAATTTCACTATTTTTTTTTTACATACTGTCACCAGTGCAGTACAGCGTCATCATATAACTGGCATGGCGGTGATCAGGGACACTGACTGGTGACAGTATGAAAAAAAAAAATATATATATTTTTAATTTTTTATCTTTTTTTTACGATTTTTTCTTCATATTTCACTATGACCAAAGTAGTACAATGTTACCATATTAACATTGTACTACTTTAGGGAAGTGATCAGTATTTTTTTTTTTTTTTACACAATTTGCTTATAGCAAAGAATAACTTTGCTATAAGCAATCATTTACCTGAATGACATCGATTCATTCAGGGTTTTTTTTTTTTTGTGCTTAGCTGTGATTTGGCCATAGCTAATCACATGACATGTGCATGTCATCGTTGTGACCATTCACAGCTAGACACTAGTATACAATGGATGGCATGAATGAAGCCATCCATTGTATACAACTGTCATGTGACCTGCTGTGATTGGTCACAGCAGGTCACATGGTACCGACAACGGGGGCCGGTACTCAGATCTGTCATCGGCCGTGTCCGAGGTACACGGCCGGTGATAGATCGCGCCGCTGCGCGGCTCTGCAAGCGTGCAAACTGCACATGCCCGGGAGTACGCCATATGGCATCCACCCGGAAATCTAAAGCATTTTTACGGCCGCCAAACGGCTATTGGCCAGGCGGCTAATGGTTAAAGGTGCTATCAACATTAAATTTTCACCACGTCGGTAACAACCCATGCAATCCATACATACAAAGAAACCAAAACAAATAAGTTCGGAAATTTAGTTATGTGTAATAAAAAGGAATGACACAGGGAAAAAGTATTGAACATGCTAACTGAAATTAATTGAATACCTGTATGGAGGAACTAGTCGCATGCATTGCTCAGGTGTGATTTTGCCCCATTTCTCAACATAATCTTGAAGATTCTGTAGGCCTCTTGTATGAACTCTGATCTTCAGTTATTTCCATAGATTTTCTATTGCATTTAAGTCAGGTGATTGGCTGGGCCATTCTATCAGTTTTATTTTCTTTCTTTGAAACCAGTTGAGTTTCTTTGGCTTTGTGATTGGGATCATTGTTTTGCTGATATGTTCACCCTCGTTTCATCTTCATCATCCTGGCAGATGGCAGCAGATTTTTATCAAGAATGTCTTTGTACATTTTTCTATTTATCCTTCTTTCAATGAAGTTTGTCAGTACCGTATGCTGTTAAACAGCCCCACACCATGATGTTTCCACCTCAAAACCTCACTGTTGGTATAGTGTTTTTGGGGTGATGTGCAGTGCCATTTGACCGCCAAACATGGTGTGTATTATGTTTATGTGTATTAAGTTCAATTTTGGTCTCATCTGACCACACTATATTCTCCCAGTATTTCACAAGCTTGTCTAAATGTTGTGCAGCAGGAGCTTCAACAGGCTATGGTGGTTGAGTGCATTACTTATTGGTTTCTTTGAAACAATTGTACCTGCTCATTCCAGGTTGTTCTGAAGCTCTCTATAACTGTACTTTACTATTGGACAACGCTTCTGATAATTCTATTCACTGTCAGAAATCTTGCAAGGAGCACCTGGTCGTGGCTGGTATATAGTGAAATGCTGTTTTTTTCCACTTCTGGATTATTGCCCCAACAGTGCTCGCTGGAACATTCAGAAGTTTAGAAATTCTTCTGTAACTAATGCCATCAGTATGTTTTGCAACAATAAGGTTGCAAAGGTCTTGAGAGAGCTCTTTACTTTTACCCATTATGAGATGTGACACCTTGGTAATGAGATACCTTTTTATAGGCCATCAGTTGAGACTGAATCAGCTGATATTAATTTTCACTGACAAGGGGCAGGATTGCATTCTAATTACTGATAGATTTCAGCTGGTGTCTTGGCTTACCATTTTGCGCCTCACTTTCTTCACGTGTTCAATACTTTTTCCCTGTGTCATTCCATTTTATTACACATAACCTAATCTTTGAACTTTTTTGTTTTGGTTTCATTGTATGTATGGATTGCATGGGTTGTTACCGACATGTAACGAAAATTTCAAGTCAATAGCACCTTTAGAAATATATTTACTGAGAAAAATGGTGATGTGTTCAATACTTATTTTACCCACTGTAGATCTTTAATTAGACCTTATTTAGAATACTGTGTCCAGTTCTGTGGACCTCAGTTACAAAAAGATACTGAAAAGATAGAACCAGTCCAGAGATGGGTAACAAAATCTGTGAAAGGTCTGAAGGATAAAACATATCAAGAGCGAACTCAAGAACTTATTATGTACAGTCTGGAGGAAAGAAGGGAAAAGGGAGACATGGTTGAAACAATTAAATACATCAAGAGGGTGAATAAGGTTCAGGGGGCCAGGATTTTCCACGTCAAACCAAAATCAAGAACAAGGGGACATGACCTCAAACTAACTGGAGGAAAGTTCAGCTAGTATTATTTCACTGAAATGGTAGTCGATGCTTGGAACAGACTTCTAGCGGAGGTAGTGAGCCAGTCAACAGTAACTGGTTTCAAACATGCTAGGACAAACATAAATCTGTACTCAGACAAAAAAAAAAAGTATCAAAAACAAGCAGACTCAATGAATCACTTGGTCTTTTTTCTGGCATCTCTTTTCTGTTTCTTATCATTAACAATCAGTGCATTCATAAATGCTTTTACTTCTTGTAAATGACTCTGGGTCTCTTACCAGCTTTGGCCATAATCTGTTCAACTGTTATAAAAAAAAAGAAGCAAGCTTTTGCTGGGGAATATTGAGGTCTGGTACTGTGTGATGTAGAAGAGCTATCCTGGGATCTTTTGGGATAGTAACATGGAACAGAGTTTGTTCAAGACTGAAGATTCTGGACCATAATGATATTAGTTTCCATATATAGGTCCACCATGTATGGAAAATGTCACCATTGTGTCCACAGCCCCTAAAACTTCTATCACTGTTATGCAGCGAAATGCTTTATTTTTTTTTCATATGATCGATGTGCGACTGGATCAAATTATTAAATCAGCAAACAATCAAAAAGCTATACCACTCTTCTGACTGATTAAGACTCCATTTTGATCAGATTTGATTAAATGGAGTCAGCTGGCCAAGTCAAAATATTATTGTTTGTCAAATATTATTGATCATTTAGCATCAGTCAGCAGCACTCAGGTACTTTGTTCATGAATAAGGTCGCATTTTGTTTGATCAGATTTTGAGATTACATGGTGCAAACAGAGATGCTAAAACACACCTTCCCATTTTGTCAAATGCGCATGTAAAATAGTCCCCTTTAAATGCTGTGTAACTGTTCACATCTGTTGGCTGCGATGTGCTGTGCTTTTGAAAAGTTCTGTTTGCTGCATCTTCAGTATGTTTTATGAAAATCACACCAAAAATGCAACACATATTTTAGTAAGTGCATTTTTGAGTCCCATGACCATTTTTCCCAGGAAGGATAATGCATTTAAAACATATGAAAAACACATTATGTGTTGTGTTTAATTTTAAAGCATTAAAAATATGCTAAAAACATGATATGTGTTTCAAAAACTGCATTTTCTGTTTTACACCGCACACATGTGAATGGCCCTAACTGTCAATCCAAATTTACTTACATGTGTGTGGCATATCGATTGAATGAGTTATTGACTATAGATCTAATATTCCTATAGGAAGAGATCGATAGGAAAAGAAATCAAACATTTCCTGATCTGTGCATATATACAGTGCCTTCAAAAAGTATTCATACCCCCTGAAATTTCCACATTTTGTCATGTTACAACCAAAAACGTAAATGTACTTTATTGGGATTTTATGTGATAGACTAACACAAAAGTGGCATGTAATTGTAAAGTGGAAGGATAATTGTAAATGGTTTTCAAAATGTTTTACAAATATCTGAAAAGTGTAGCATGCATTTGTATTCAGCCCCCTTTAATCTGATACCCCTAACTAAAATATAGTGGAACCAATTACCTTCAGAAGTCACTTACCACCTGTGTATAATTTAATTTCAGTATAAATACAGCTGTTCTGTGAAGCTCTCAGAGGTTTGTTAGAGAACATTAGTGAACAAACAGCATCATGAAGGCCAAAGAACAAACCAGACAGGTCAGGGATAACGTTTTGGAGATGTTTAAAGCTGGGTTAGGTTATAAAAAGATTTCCCAAGCTTTGAACATCTCACAGAGTTCAATCCATCATCTGAAAATGGAAAGAGTATGGCACAAATGCAAACCTACCAAGACATGGCCGTCCACCTAAACTGACAGGCCGGGCAAGGAGAGCATTAATCAGAGAAGCAGCCAAGAGGCC